GGGGCTCTCCCCGGCCGGAGCGTGGCCGTGCTTGGGCCCCCGAGCACCCGGTGGCACCTTTTTCCTTTCTTTTTTTCTCTTTTCCCCTGTCTCTTTCCCTTTTTGATTCAGCTGTGCGGTTTTTAACACGTGGAGTGATCGTGTCAGGAGCTGCATCTCATTTAGCTCTTACGCTTCAGACACGTTTTCCCTTCAGCGGGAAGGGACGTACACCTCTTGGGCTGCAAAGGCCATGAGGCTCAAGTATGAGATTTATTTCGTGGGTGAGCTCTTGTTCGCTGTTAGTTGAATTCCAGGGAGAACGTTTGTAATAGCATGCAGCCTCCTTTTAAATAGCCTGTGCTGCTCACCTGGGCGAAGGGGCCTCTGCCTCCTGACAGGTGATTACCAAAAGGAGCTCCCACTTGTGCTGCTGGTTGAGCAGTAGGTGCCGCGCACCTGTCTTGTATTCAGGAGGCCTTTTTCTAGATGCTTTCCCCTTGTTGGGAACCCCCTGCTATGGAGATCTTACAAAATAATACTTGGTGGTTTACATCTTTGAATTCCTAAATATCCAAACGACTAGCTAATGAGAATGTAAAATCTAGTACAACAAGCAATGCAAAGTGATGGAGAAGAAGTGCTTTGGATGCATTTATGTTGAGGGAGTATATTTAATCTTTCGTTTCTACCCATGCTCAGACATGATTTTTTTTTTTTTAATTAAGAAAATGGAAACCAACTTTTTGACATAACCGGTTTAATGACTCTGTAGCCAGGGCTATAAAAGCCTGTTCCTGTAAACATGCGTGTCTAACTTTAATAGGTAGTCCTATGGACTTCAGTGATCCGTTTCACCTGAGGAGGTGTGCTCATATGTGGAAGCCCTTGTTTCTGAGGATGCATTTCTTGGGCAGTTTCCATTTATGACAGATTTCATTATGTAATGCTAGATAGTTTTCTGAAGAAGATGTTTGAGAGGAAAAAATATTCGTAATTTTTGTGCATACATAATTGAGAAAATGCTTCAAAATACTATTTAGATTAGCTATTTGAGATCTATGGGCTATTGACAATGCAGCATTTTCCTGTTCTAGTGGCTTTTAGTCTCGTTTCTATACATTGTTTGATAGACAAGTGCATGCTCAAGCTAATTTTGATATTTGCGGATATACTGTTTTAAAATTATTTATTATTGAAGAAAGGTAATACCAATTTTTGTATTTCAAGGGTAAGATAAATCTCAAAAACAGATTCCTAATGGAGACATAGTCATTCACAACACCTTTATGGCCTTCAAAAATGTGTTGCCTGCTTGAAGAGAAGGAAGCTATTGAACACCAACATGCTAAAAACCTGTTACAATGGGCCCAAACAGGGAAGTGACGTTTCTGCTCTTACATATTGGGAGGATTTACTATTAGCGCTGCTGCCTCCCCTTAGAGCTTTTTAACCACCATGTGGATTAGTCTGTTGCTGAACTGTTAAGCGGGAGAAAAAAAAAAGAGTAGATCCTTGCTGGCTTATTTCTCAGATGAGCTTGTTTGACTTGGATAGGAAACATCATCCTGATAAAGTTATGTGCTCTGAAAGCTATTTTATTTACATTTAGTCATCAGAAAAAACAATTACGCCGTAGTTACTTGTCACATGACAAAGATGACTGAGCTGTGGAACTACCTATTTCAGATCCTTGTAACGCTTCTACATTGCCTTTTTCCAAGTTGCTACACACCCATTACAACCTATTTTAACCAAGTTATTGATCTTGTGAACAGTTACATGTGTGTCTGCTTTTCATGCAATCAAAAGATAGGTTTGGAAGGAGCCTCATCATCCTGCTCAAGGCCAGGATTGCTCCTAGCATGCATTTTTCTGATCTTGGAGACATCCAGAAAATCATCCTATTGAAAAAGCCAAAGCACTTCTGTACAGCTATGTTGTTATCTGCAGGAAGCATACATCTCAGCTTATGCCTTAGCCCCGACTGGAAGAATTGAGAACAGTCTTGGAGCCTCCAAACTGAAGCTGGTTGCTTCCAGAGTCTAGAGTTTCCAAGATCAGAGTTTAGGGGTTTAAATGGGAGTGAGAGTAGTGTAACTGTAATGAGAATAGGTTAATACAGCTTCGTTGCATGTCTTATAATCAGTCCTAAAAGTAATAACCACTGGTATTTTTTTTAACCGGTGCAGATTTTATCTACTTTTGGTGGTCAAGGCTGTGTACAGTGCTCTAAGTATTCCTGACTTAGTCCCCTGTGTGTAAGTCAGGACAGAATCAAAACAAACTCAGTAAGTCCTTAGAATAAACAGAGGATATTAAAGATTACTTTCAGTGGCAGTAGTTAGGTTTTCATTAGCAAGAAACTGGAAGTGTGAAGTTTTCCACTTATGTGTAGTATATGGAACCTGAGAGAACAGAAAGCAGAACTAAATGTTATGAAACCATTTTGAAATGGGTATCCTCTTTCTGTGAATGGTCATGAATCACCTCACCAAATACGTGTGTCTCAAGTGGGAAATGAGATTGGCTGTGAGAGCTGCTGTCCATGCTTTGAAAAGGTGCCAGATAGCAAGAAGCACCGTTATTCTTGGAATTCCCCAAGAAAAAATATGACCCTGAACTACAT